ATATATATATATATATATATATATATATATATATATATATATAGATATATAATAGTTTCCAGTTAGTATTACAACAATAAATAATAACAATAAAGACTACAATCGATCACTCACCATTTTAATTCCAAATGTCATTGATAAAATCACACACGACACCTTCGATCAAGACAAAAAGATAACACTTATTGTTACCGAAATCAAGACACTGACCGACGGGAAACGACCCGATCCGAACACCTCGAGCGTCACTCGATTACTGAATTTGCAATATTTTTAAATATCAATCGACCCTATCTAGGTGTTGCCAGATTTAATAACACATCCAACAGGGTGACGTCATAGAAGGCACAATTAGGGGATCAAATGTAAAGGATGTTCTTAAAGAAATCAACTGTTGGATGTTGAAACGATAATTGTTACTAGAAATAAATCAATGTAAGAACTAAATTTACTTGTTAGATCCTAATTATATTAATTTAATAACGTTAATCGCTACTATATTATAGGTTAAATTTTACCATGGGTCATGATAACTTTATCAAATAATTTACGTAAAAATGTATCAATGAAACCTAATGTATCAAAGTTTATTTTTGCAAAACTTTATGGAAAAACTATTTCACGATTTTTTACAACACACACGACTCTTAGCCTCAGACACGTATGACTGACATGGCAATTAATGTGTTAAAAAATTATATTATGATCATTAGAATACTGATATAATATATCTATCGAATAAGAAATCAACTATTGAGTTAAATGCAATATTTAATTACTTAATACAAAGTCTTCTGTTTAAGTCATTTGTAAATTATCAAATTTGCTAAATGTTCTAAACTGAACAGTAGTAAATGGAAAGGAAAATGCAATTTGAATCATTTCTGCAATCATATGTGTTCCAAATATCGTTATGATATTTAAGATACTTCACAATTCTAATACTATATATAATTATATTTTGATAAGTTATAAATATTTTACATTACTGAATAAATAATGGAATTTACTACATAAATGATATGTGTTATGAAGGCGTAGTCGATTATTCCAAACTTTAACGAATTTTTATAATTAAACCACATTTTGTAAGCCTATAGCATTTTAGTTTAGATATGTTTGTTTTGACTTTTAATTCTATGAATCTATAGTTTCTTGAAAATAGCAATAAAAAAACTGTATCAATTACATGCCAAAGACGATCTTTAACCGAAAAATACTATTGGCTTATATACAAAAAACATGCACTAATATACACACTTTGTCCAATGTTGATGTCACACTATTCAGAATGACTTGAACAAAAAAAAGAAATTTCTAACGAAAAAATATGCTACTTATTGTATAAATCAATATTAATTATTTACATTATTTTATGTGACTTGTCTTTTGGCAAAGTGCCACACGATTATTTATTCAAAGGTATCAAACATCATAGTGATGATAATTCTACAAAGATTTTTTTTTCTAAAATTTAAAACTATCTAGTGATGCATGGCTTTGAACCTTGAGGCAAATTGCTGGAACTTCTCGAACCCAAAATTAAAAAATTTAAAAAAGATTCAATTTTCTTTTAGAAATCTAAAAACATATTTTTGAGATTTTTAAATTTAAAAAAAAAAATGTTTTTTTTTTTAAAAGGATGTTTTTTAATCGTTCAAAACGGCTGACTCGTGTTCTCGAAATCGTCTACGTAAATTTGTATCCACACACACACACACACATACATACATCTATTTGCTATAATCGTAAAGTATGCCAAAATGTTCAGAAACCTTTGAAACGTATAGATATTTAAAAAAAATTATTTTCAATTTATTTGTGATTACTATATCTTACCCTTAAAGAAGTTAAATATTAATACATTTATTTTTTATATATATATATATATATATATATATAATATTAATGCTACAACTAATATTAGTGAAAGAGACCTGAGACTATATGCAATATAACCTATTACTTTAATATAATTATGCTCCAATACATACATATGAATATACACAAACATGGATTTGCTTTCAGAGTATATATTTAACAAATTCATTTAGAATAATTTTTATATTTTAATGAGTTCATTTAACAACATATTATAAGTTTAATTATAGAAGGACATTATGTATGTCCTTAAAAATTTGTCGATTCAATTATCAAATTTAGGTCTTTCAGTGTAAATTTGTTTCAGTTAGAGCTGGACTTGAAATTATTATAAATATATGAATTGTGTTTTATAAAAAATGTAAATTGTATACACCTAAGTCTGTTTTTACACGGTCTTTTTGTACACGGTTTTGATATAACACGGTTTGATAATTGAATATTTTGAATTTTTTTACAGGAATTTATTCCATTTAGCACGATTTGAAATTTCATGTACCTCAATTTTTTTTGTCAAATTAAATTTTTGCGAAGTATGTTCATATCACAAAAAAGTATTTATGAAAGAAAAAAGTCTGAAACCATCGATAGTTTGCGAACACTAGCTTAAAGATTTAAGTGAATTCCCCTTTAGCGCGTACAAACAATTTTTACTGGTCAAAGCAAATGTGAATAGCACTAATTTAATTCTTGTTCTTAAAAATTCTTGTTTTTCATCAATTTTAATAGGTTTTAGAGATTAGGAACAAATAACCCATTTTTGTATAAGATCAATGTCTTTTTTTACACGTTTTTTTTTTACACGGCTTCTTCTGGAACCAATCTTCGTGTAAAAACAGACTTAGGTGTATTTTTAATTTTTTACACGATTTTATTCCATTTAGCACGATTTGAAATTTTATGTACTTAAATTTCTTTTGTCAAATTTAATTTTTGCGAAGTATGTTCATATCACAAAAAAGTATTATGAAAGAAAAAAGTCTGAAACCATCGACAGTATCAATAGTTTGCGAACACTCGCTTAAAGATTTAAGTGAATTCCCCTTTAGCGCGTACAAACAATTTTTACTGGTCAAAGCAAATGTGAATAGCACTAATTTAATTCTTGTTCTTAAAAATTCTTGTTTTTCACCAATTTTAATAGGTTTTAGAGATTAGGAACAAATCACCCATTTAGATCAATGTCTTTTTTTACACGTTTTTTTTTTTTTACACGGATTCTTCTGGAACCAATCTCCGTGTAAAAACAGACTTAGGTGTATTTAAATTAGACACGATACAACGCAAGGTTTATTACTTTGCTGTTTGGATGCTGCGGGTTTATGATGAGACTCAGGCGTTATTATTTCCGCATCATGAAAGTGATGATTCTCGCACAATATAATTAATTATTATTTATAAGCTGGTTTTGTACACAAATGATCCATATGTAATCTTAATAACTAGTAATAAAAGCTAGCTAATATGATAGCTGACTCCGATTTGTTAAATAGAAAGAGACGCTATTATTCAGTTTTACCAGTGGTAAATCTTGTCAGATATTGGTACACATAAATTAAAATTTGAATCTAAACTGAAGATGGTGATAAAATTAAAAGTCAATTTTATTCACATAATTTTATATTAGTCAAACGATCTTGTTCATCTCAACAGGTTTTATTCCAACTTAAGAAAACAAACATTCAAAATTAAAGTGTGGTATGCAAAATAAAAATTAATTATCCTAATTCATCACACTTAAAAAAATACAAACTTAATATAAAATTATTACGCCAATATGCCTACATATTATTTGCAATTATTATACCATTTTTTTGAATTAATGTAATAATTTATTGGACATATTATGCAAAATAATTGTGAACTACTGAGGCATTCATTCTATACTTTTGATTTTAAAATTTGATATCAAATTTATTTATAATAATAATAATAATATTTCAAAAAAGTGTATCTACATGTGAAGTTGAATTATATTCAATTTTGAATAATCTCTAATATCATGTTCATAAAAACATTAAACATAGACGTTTTGTTTAATTCTCATTCAAATTACTGAAATTAAAAATAGAAAAACCTATGAGCATGCAAAACATAAAATACAAATTAATTAAAAATATATTTACCTTATTTTTTTGGCCGAAGCAAACTGCTAATTCTGAAAGTCCTGTAATTCTCCTGATACCCCAAACCTAATAAATAAAAATTAGCAAGCGTTATTAGAAGCAAATAAGTTTTGCAATTATTTCATAGCAAATTAATTACACAAATATATCATTAATTACTAATTAATTAATTAATAATTGAGAATGAATATATTTTGACTTATATTCTAGATTTGTAATTTTAATCTGAGATATATCACATTTTGTAAACAAAGTAATTTAAGAAAAAAGTGTATATAGAAGACAAATTTATTTGTTAAAATTCAACTTTGATTCATCTCTATTGTTATCTATATAAAAACGCAATAAATAGATATCTCATTTGATTTTTATTCAAGTAGCTAAAGTTTGGAAAAAACTAGAATATATGATAAAAAATTTAAATTAATTATTTAAAATACAAATAAATTTCACTTCACAATTATATTGCTGAAAATTAATAAAATGATGTTCTGAAAAATATTTTTTATAATAAAATCTGAAAAAGTTTTGAACACAATCCTTTCCTTATTAATAACATATTGAATTTAATTTCATTATTACTACATTAATATAACATTTATTATAAAATATAATATTTACAATATTATAATAACTACATATATAATTATATTCTTTTCAATAATCTATGATGTAACACTTAATCTATATTTACAATGTGATTGATTCATCAAATATGTGAAATATATTTAAGAATATATATTTATATACATTTAATAAAATTATACTTAAAATTATTCAATATATTTGAGATGTATTGAGTATTATATAAGTAAACCTAATTACGTACAAATTGAATTTGAAAATATTTTTTTAACAAAAAATTATTCGTTAAAATTAAAAATATAATCTAACTTTGTCATGTGGAACTACATAATATAACTTATAACTTTTCAACAAAAAATATAAAAATAAATATTACTTAAGTTTATATACAACATCAATACTATCTATCAAACAATTCTATCTTATATAATAAATATTTTTTCTTAAGTTAAAATTAATTTGGTGAATGATTATAAATAATAAATAAAAATTGAACAAAAAATTTCCATATACTTTTAACTTAAGCCAAAAGTCACTGGTCTTAAATAATTAAGAGGATAACTTATCATAAATAATTCTAGGACATTCATCCTTTACACTCATGACCCGAAAATAGATAACCCGTAGGTTAAATTTGGGGCTGTCTAATCTAATCAATTCATCGAAAATCACTCTAGATTAACATTCAGACTTATTTTAGTAAGTAAACAGTAACAAATAAAATTTATTTACAGATCTTCAATCCTTTCCATTAACATTCTATATCTGATTTAATTTCAAAGTCCAGCTTGGTGCGCACTTGGCGCATTGTGGATGTTTTCTACCAAACTTGGCAAACCTTGATAGTTGTAGTCGACTAATTCTCGAGTTAAAATATCGAGGCGAGGAAATCTAAAATTGAATTAGAATTTAATATTAATTAATATTTCCAGTTGTGGTGAAGTTTAAAGTTTGAAACTTTAATTACCGGTAACTTATATCCGTGTCGTCGTAAGGTAGTTTCTTGTGGACCAGCCAGGGAAATGGACGAGGATCTAAAATTTATTAATCATAATAATTAAAGAATCTAATTTCAAATTGCTTATTTGATATGAATAGCTTATGTGCAAAATCTTGAATATTATAGTAATAATTAATTCTATAACCAATACAGCTATAAGTATATTCATCAATAGGTATAAAATGCCCTTGACAAGGGATCTTGTAAAATATAATAATTATTTACAAAACTAATCAAAAATATATTTTTACAAATTATATATTAAACATACGTTCTAGTATACATGTAAGAAAATACATCAATTTATCTACTTTTAACAAATTAAGAAAAACTTTTCAATATTTTTTATATAAAATTCCGCTACCGCTGAAGTTACTACAATTTATTTTAGATATTAAATTAAAAAACTTGCATGATTTAAAAGCATTAGTTGTACGTCAGTAAGCTTGAACATAAATTTATAGACTATATAAAAGTTACTTCTAAACAACTAGTTGTTAATAAAACTATTTTTGTTTTGTCCCCAAAGATATTTGTATAACATATTTCTCTGATTCAAAACAGCATTCGTAAATAGAAATTTGACATCAAACCTAACAAATGAAAATTTGATAATTATTTTTTTAGCTGAAGTGAAGGAATTAGAAGCATTAAAATTTGGTAATATATTATAAATTTAAATAAAATTATAATTTTTTTGAAAGCGTCGATATTTGCTTCTTTAAACGACTAAAATTAATTATAAGCTCAAAAACTCTTAATTGCTTAAAGATCTTAAAAAATTGACACTTGATTATACCCATGACTATAGCCCTCCAAATAACCCGAAAAAAATTCTTGATTACCCAAATCAAATAAAAATTAGAAAGCGGGTTAAGAAGCAAATAAGTTTCGCAATTATCTCATAATAAATGAAGTACACAAATAACTAATAATTAATTAATTAATTTACAACTGTAAATGAATATAATTTGATCTATATTCTCGATTTGTAATTTTGATATGAGATAATCACGTATTGAGGAAAAATTTACACATCAAGGCAAATTTAAGGTGTATTGAAGACAATTTTTTTTGTCAGAATTCAATTTTCATGTTATCTTTATAAAAACGTATTAATAAGATAACTAATAAAATAATAATATATGAAATAATTAATCTAGAATATTATCGCTATATTAAAAATGTCGAAAAATATTTTCATTACAAATTTTTGTGATATTCTCAACTTTTAAAAATAAGTGAAAATCGAAATATGTAGATAGTTATATTACATATTTTAAAAAATTGTATAATAAATATATAAAAGACTCTTTGAAAATTTCAAGTTTATCGGTTCTGTAATAGTTAAGAAATCATGGGCATCGTATAAAAAAACAGTTACGAGAAAAATGCGTTTAAAGATTTTTTGAAAAATTTTGGACTCCCCCCTCATGGTGATACTCAAAATTACTCGTGTATTTTTAAAAAAAATCCTGAAATATTTCAATTCTTTTTGAAAACGTTTGTTTTGTTGTAATTCAGGTGAAAATAAATACACGTAAAATATAATAACACGACCCCTCCCTCCCCCACGTGATGTTTCGTAATTTTTGGTCAAACTCTCCCGTAAAATTTCTCTAAACAGGATCATCACTGAAAATAATTTAAATTTAGAAAAATCATCTTATATACATAATCCTGATTAGTTATTTTTTTAAAATATCAAAAATGGAGAAAATCGTTTCTTTATAAATTTTAGACCAAAATACCCCCTAACGCTTTGCAAATGAGTGTAAAAATATGAAAATTTTAATGAAATTTTTGTTAGTAAATAAAGTAAATAAATATGTTTTGAAGTCAGTACTTACATAAATTTGCACAATCGTGTTTTTGAATATAAGAGTCTGCTCTTAGCGCATTGCCCTCTTGATCTTCAACAGTGATAGCAATTCCATGGTTCCTCGCCGTGGTTTTCCAGGAAGAAACCGCTCCTTTTAAATTTAATTCTATCCAACCGGTAAAAGACGAATGCACCATTTTTGAATCAGATAGCTTCCTTTTTACTGAAAATATTAGGAGAAAATATTATTAATAAAAACTGTTGAAAATTCTGGAAACTTTAAGCTCTAACGCCCTTGGAATGTTGCGTCGCATTTTGATCAACACTTATTATTTACTGCTCGTAAGATAGTTAATTCTGTTTAACATGTATTGAATCTATAACTTTTTGAAGAAACTAAGTGTAATGGACATTTAGACTTAAGGCAAATTTAAAAACCTTCCAGATGCATAAATAATCGAACTAATAAATGAGAATTGAATATTAGCAATTGTGACAATGGTATTTTGTAATTTGGTAGACTCATCAGTTCAAATTTTTATAACAATTGTAGGTCTATAATATTTTAGAATATTCATCAGGACAAATTTATAGAATTTCTCAACAATTAGTTACAAAGAAACAGCCCAGTCGATCTTTACCAGAAACCCATCAGCCCAATTGTGACCTTTGATCTGGTTTGATAAATTTTCAAAATTTATTCAAAAATTTTAGACAAAGTTTATTGCACGTATCTGCTAATTATGTAAAAAAAGCAAAAAACTAATCAGCAAAATCAAATCCTTTTAGAAGTCCATCAAATATGAATTTGAATTTTTTTAAATAGATGCATCATTCCAAACTTTTTAAGATTTTTATAATTATTGTAGGCGTATAATTTTTTAGGATGTTCGTCGAGACCACTAAAGTTTTCGACAACTAACTACAAAGATACTGCTCTGCCGATTTGTATCATAAACAAATGAGCCCGACTCCCAATTCAGACCTTTTGAAAGTGTTTAAATTTTCATAACTTGCTCAAGAATTTTGGACAAATTTTAGAAAATTTCTGCTAATTTGGAAAAAACCAAATCCGAATTACTAATTAGCCAAATCCACATCAAATTCCATCAAATATGGCTCAGAACTTTTTTTTAAATAGACGCAGTTGTTTTTGAGAAAAAGTTGACGATGAAAGGTCAAATTTTAGTTTAATTACTCAAAAACATACATTTTCGAATTTTTATGTGGAACTTTTTAGTTTTCCAAATCGGATTTGCTGGCAAAAATATGAACTTTTTCGAAAAATTTATTAGTTCTATCTATTAAACAATGCGTTTCATAATTTATGCAATAACTTATTACGTGCATCTATTACGAACCTAAAATCTGTTTACAAGTAATATTACAAAACCGCGCGTAATCAGAAGTTTCAAATATCTTCAGACTTCGTTTTATATTTCAATGTCGTATAAAATGAACCTTCACATAAATACAAACGCATTTTATCAATGCGCAGAATGTACCTATGGGAGAAACTTACTTAAATCTCATATTCCATGTCTCGATCTACGATCTTCGGGATTCATTTTACAAGAATCGTTTAAATTAAAAAGCGATGATTCGAGAAATTTGATCAATTTAATGAAAACAGCTTACATCGAAGACTATGATATAAAAAAAACAAAAATGTGAAAATCAATCTTACCTCTTTGTTTCTTCAGCGACCTGGTGTACCATGACACTGATATCCTGATTTGATCGTCGTTTCTGGAACGATGTTTTGAATTTGCAGAATCCGGAGAGATTATATATATCCTGAAATTGCATTTGGTTATTACATAACAGGAACTAAATATAATTTGAGTCACTATAATTCGCAAATTCCTTTTGGCAAATTTTCAAATAATGTGCAATTCATTTAACAAATGGGTAATGATACCCAAAAATACAGTGTACAATACTTTAATTACCTACACAAATTGATATTACGTACAAAACTTCAAAAGGATTTATACTTTGTTGCAAAATATATATGAAAACGTTGGCAGTACTCCAAATTATTACTGCAGAGCTAAATGCGGGCCAAGAACACATGGAAGAGATTTCTATTACAAGGATATGTAAGATTATTACGACTGAGGGTGGAAATTGCGCCAGAAATGTTAACAAGATGCTGGTTTCTTACCTAAGTGTTGCTGTTTCTAAGGTTAAATTGGGCTTCTCTGGTCTTATGCTGGATGAGACGTTAAATAGTAAATTTAGAGCATCGCTATCGTTCCAAGATTCAGCATCTGTGTTTTTTGGTAATTCGCCTAAAATAATAATAATATTATGATATAATGTATTTATTATTAAGTTTTTTATTTGCAGACAAAAATAAGTACTGAACTTGCGTCAAAATTGAATTTAGACATCAACTAAGAAATTCATTATTGAGAGTCGCGATTTATTACTCCACAATGTTAATGCATTTTTGAATGAAATCATAAAAATTAACGATTATCAGGTACAAGATTGTTATAATATAAGGTTAATAATTGATAATAAACTTAAAACCATGGGTCGCAATCTGACTATTCTCACAATAAGAACAGAAATTAGGAAAATATAAAATATAGAAATCATACCAATTTTTGAGATATCTGATTGTCATATTATTTAGATTCTAGATTACCCGACAGACGTTGTCTTTTACCCACGTGTCTATTAAAGTTTCAATTTTTTTAATATTATATCCTTTACTTTTCAATATTTTATTTAAAGTCGTTCCATTTATTAGCATAAGCTATATACGTATTGAAAAATGCAGTTTTTTGGTAAGTATAAGAAATTCAGAAAGAATAAATATATTATCTACGGTAAAAGAACAATATCACCTTTGTTATTTCCAACCAATATAATTGCATAAATAATTTATATAATTTGTATTAGTCTATAATTTTTATAAACGCGTACCCAATATTAGTTGCTTTTTGGCAAATACAGTTTTTAAATTACATTTTTCTTACTAATAATTCAATAAACATTACTACTTTAGTTAAAATCTAAGATAAATGATTTTGTAAAATCTAGTTCATATGGCGCTGTTCAATCTGAGTTCTTGAAACAAATGAATTTTTGTCACGTGAAACAAAATTCTAAATAATTTTTTCAATAAGTAGAAATATTCTTTTGTATTTAAATAATTTAGTAAAGTAAAGCAAAATACAGCATGCATAAGTTTAAAAAAAATAATGTGTAAAATAAGAAATGACAGTTCTCGTGTATCAAAATGTTTTCAATGTCAAAAAATTATATGTTGTTTTTTGCAATTTTTTCCATTATTTCTTCAATATTACTATATTTTTATAATCACATACATTCTAAAAAAAAACCTTAACAAACTTCAGAAAAACTTATCAAAATCCGAATAATCGTTTAGGAGGAGCATATTTGCATACATCATTACAGAAGAATTTTATATATGAGATATAAGTTCTCAAAGTATCGGTTGGAAAAACAAGTACTAAAAAAAGTAAAATACACCAAACCAAATTTTAATTTATATATGAAAATAATTGACGATATAACTGATACAATTTTAAAGCGTGTTAAAGTTCAAAAAAATAAATTATTTCTTTAACGTTTTTCAGAAACCAAAATTTATACATTATTCATCAAACTTATTTAGTCATGAATGCTTGAAGTTTGATTATATCAATAGATTTTGGAATATATATCAAAATTTTGAAAAAATATACGCATATATTTTGTAGACAGATATCTAATTTGTACTTAAAATTTAAAATGACAAAACAATCATTTAGATAAATTATAAATGTATGTTGGATATATAATCACGCATTTATTTAAATTTTTCAATATCTGTTTGAAATGTCCGATGAACATTTTTAAAAAGCCTTAAAGTTTTTGCTCTTTTCTTACATTTAAATTAAGTGATATTATGCCTCATAAATTAATTGACTGACAATGAGTACTATTTCAGACAATAAATCTTGAGACAATTTTATTTTATTTCTTTCGATATAGATATATAACTAAAATGCATAAAATCAAATAAGGAAGAGAAAATGTGTATATCTTAAAAAAATTCTGAAAATTATTACAACTAAAATCAATAATAAATCAATAATAGTAATTATTAAAAATGCATTTTATAATGTTTATTATCCCATGTGTCTATATAAACTGATAATGACAATAAATCATATATCGAAACAAAATGATGAAAATGATAAATCAAGATTCTCTAAAAATCTGATTTTTGTTTTATATTTTTGTATATAAATATATATACTAATAATGACTAGTACTTGAAAAAATGTTATAAAAACATTTCATACTCACATCTCGGATGAAAAGCAATGTTTTTCTCGGTAAAAGTTGAGCTTAACATATCAATGTCTGCATTGTTCCTCGACAGTGACATATCGGATGGTTGATCCTGCATTTGTTGCGCATGAGATAAAAATACTCTGAAAATACAGGAATTCATATTTGTAATACACCATTCATAAAAATCAATGACTATAGGAAACTATTATGGTCTATTATATTTATCTAGTTTACCTGTGAGCTTCGGAAATATGTCTTTGTTGAATGGGTTTTCTGTTTAAATTTGCCGGTCTTTCTCGCTCCAGTTGGGTCTGATCGGCCACCTTGGTCCCGGATTGAGTTCCGGAGTGAACGAAATAAGTTAGCATCGATTTCTTTATTTGTTGTAAAGCCAACTGCTTTGCCCTGGGTAAAAGATTTTTTTAATATGAATAAATACATAATTTTTTTATTTCAATTAAATGCACAAAACACAATGTTATAACTGCGCAAAAAATCAACACAATATTTTCAAATGCAATCATGTAAGTAATGTTAATTAGGTTAAGTACAAGATCAAAATCCTATATTGATAATAAATTCACAAAAACTAAATTAACACACTTTTAACAATATAAAAATGCATTATAGCAACTTTATTAATTGCAAACTCGTGTAATACATTTTGTTCACATTTTTTATATCGTTCAGGATTATGCAGCTTATTATATTTATTTTAAAAAAAAAATTCAACAAGCATAAAAGTTGTAAGTGAACTTACTACTAACTAGTATGCAGCCGAAAAATTATAATGCAAAAAATGTTTACAGTTTCTTTATTATTTTAATGAAAAATGGTTCATGGAAAATGTAAAATACTGATAGAATTTTTATGGAAATAAACAAGAGGTGAAGTGCTTCAAAATTTAAATGTCAATAAAGTTATTTCAATAACTTCTAGAATATTCGAAGTTCAATTAACTTATTTTGCAAAACTAGTTATGATATAATATTTATGATAAAAATAGTAAAAAAGATGCTAAAAATAATACATACTTGGAACTGGTATGCAGTTAAAATTCAATTTTAAGAAAAGTTTTATTGCAAAAAGTTCATTAGTTGATTTATTGATATGAGTTATATATCATATAGAAAATTTAGTAAAAATGAAATAAGAGTGATTATGTTTTCAACGAAATGTATTGAAAGGTTTTAGAATTGTTAATCTTAGATTTTATTGGAATATTAACTGTACTATTTGTAAATTCAAACAATTTCTAATGAAAAAGTAGTGTATATTGATTGCAAAATAAACATAGTGTCATCCTAATAAAAAATCCTTAAAACATGCAACTATCACGAAATTAAAATTCAATCATGATAAAAAATATATTAAAAAAAATGGCAGAATTTGTATACTTAATTAGAAATTAAGTAAAAATGAAATGAAAATGATAGCGTTTCTATATAAATAGAATTAAATTTTAATTACTTTTTATTGGAAATCTATTGAGTAACCATTTATGGCTAAAAAAATCTGCCAAAAAAATTTCTAATTAATGTATAATTATTCAACCTAAATATTTTATTAAAAAAACATAATTTGTGTTTAACACAACGAAAAATCAAATATAACAATTGGAGTCATTAAAATGCACACATGCCATTAACGATTTGTAAGTGATTATTTTAGTATTTAAATTAAATTTGATATATAAATTATATAAAATATTAAGCATTTCACGCAGAATAAACTCAAAATTAATATTAATTCAAATGTAATATATAAACAATATAATTTATTATACATGTCACACAAAATAACAAATCATGCAAAATTATTATTTTGCAGTTGGCATATAACGCATATCAAAAAGTTTTATTTTTCTGAATGATTAATTTTAATTTATTAATCAGGACTTTAATGTCTTATTTACAAAATTAATATGTCCAAAAAAGAAATGATAAAAAAAATATAAAACGAAATAAAGTTAAAATGAAATAAAATAATAACAGTAATACAAAAATAATAATATAAATGAACTGTGACGTGATGATGTATGCCGTATCAAAAAGATGGAACAAATTTTGTAAGCAAACAAAATTTTAATTCAATCAATCATTTTCAAATTATTTTTTACTAAAACAAATAATATTAATTTACGATATACAAAATTACTATAATTCCATAACCACAAATCTATTTACAAATAAATTAATCTTACAACGTAGTAATCTCAGATATCAGAGAGGGCACGCGCAGAATAGTAACTACGCATAAGTATAAAAGGATCAATTAATTAAAACATTAAGAAAACAAAAGTTTGGCATTCAAGATTACATTATAATAACATCGAACTACATATCAATCGAATGATTGTAGAAAAATATTTGTTTACGATTGATATAAATATTTTAAAACATTTGCAGCATTCCATAGACTTATAAACTAAAATGTTTAATTAAGTCGCAGACTGCTCGCCGTCGCTTGGAATATTCAGTAAACATAATTAGACGATTTATTGTAATTATCGATAATATTATATAACTAACACGACTAGTATAAATAATATTGTTAGCATGCATTCTGATGCATTAGTTTTGTTTTGTACAAAGTTATATGTAAAAGAAAAATGCATTGCACAAAAATCAAACACAAATTTGCAAATTTTACGTCTGCGCTTTTTTACCTTTCTGCCAACTCCTCCTCAGTCCTAATAGATGATAAAAATTAAAAAAATATATTTTTATAAGAATAATAGTATTATATTCAACTAAAATATATTTTATACAAGTGAAAATTAATGAGAAGCCATAGAAAATAAAAATTTTTCATGCATTATTTTATTGTAATCTTTTCCTACTTTTTAGTACACTATTATTGTTTAATCGAATTTTCCTAAAAGTGAAAATAGTAAAATTGACTTATATTTATAAGAATTTAGATTTTTGAGATTATTCTGCATATACTTAATATGTTCGGAGAAAAAACAATACACTTCCTTCTTAATTTATTTATCATACTTTCTAAAAGTCTCATTATTCTTTGTTGCCAATAGCAATAAAGAACAAAATCATTTCAAAATTTTAGTATTATATAGTTTTTATTTAGTATAAATGGCAGCACGAGTTATATAACATCTATATTAAAAATGAAATCAAAATATAATCATTGAAAACAGACTTTTTTATCCGAATAAATTAGTGCTAATTTTATTGATAGTCTATACAGAATCGTAAAATCTGCCTGTAATAATTTTGGCGCTTAAATAGTTATATATATATATATATATATATATATATATATATATATACACATTTTTTAACAGTCTTGAATTTGATGTTAATATAATATATATTATTTGAGTTTGAATGTCGGGCATTACAGCGATAAAAATGGTATGAGATATTATAGAAATTTATATGAAATCCATACGTTTCGGCAATCAACATATGTAAGAAATTTCATAAAAAAACAATAATAATAGAAATAAAAAACCTCACAATTTTGTATCCTAATATAACAGATGAACTAAAAAATCAAATTAAAAATGAAAAAATAAAGAAAAATTTTCAATTATAAATTTCGACTGTTGATGTGTGTCATCAATCTGCAAATAAAACCACGCTTATTTAAAAAATAGCATTTAACTAATAAATTAAATCAAAACTAAAAAAGATGCCATAATTTCTTTAATTTTGATTGTCAACCCACAACCATTTTTTGCCTATGATTATTATTTATTTGCGTATTAATTTAACCTGTGTGTCATTTTGAAAAAAAAATACTTGCTCTAAAATTTGAAAACATTTTGGTTTATTTATAACTAATTATAAGTGATATTCTGAATAGTTTTATCAACACAAAATAAATTTTTTAGAATTGTTAATACCAAGATATCAGTAAGTATAATTAAATACTGCAGCTGTTTCAATAATATTTTGATTACCAATACTTTATAAAAAATATTTTGCCTCCAATAAAGTTGTCATTAGAAGAGTAATTATAATTAAATTCATTTATATATATATATATATATATATATGTTAATATTTATATATGTATAACGCAAATAAACAAATCTTCATACAGATTATAAATTAAACCGGATTTATATTTAGTTCACACGCATATGATGTAATATTTATAGCCTAATAAAATCTGGCTGGCGTCTGTGAAAGCACCTTGATGATTTTGCACATTTAAATTAAGTATCCAATAATTTAATTAATATTTTTTACGATCGATCCTAAAATTTAAATATTTTTATTTTGAATCTATCAATAAAAAAGTTATATCACAATACGTCACAATCACAATACGTCTATTAAAACGTCATTAAACGAGTTTAAATTATTTCCATGTCTAGTCGGATTTCAGTTTAAACCGGATTTAATTTGTCTAAAAAATAGGCGCCTGAGTATCTATTTGCAAATTTGGATTATTTAAATTTTGAATGTAGTGAAGTCTTGATAATTTGATGAAATTGACTGTGAACGAATCATAAATGTGTTCATGATGTAAAAGTAATAATACCTATTGAAAGCTCACGTATATTCTTTTGTATGAGCTTTCAGTAACTGTAGAAGTCAAAGGTTTTGCAGACTCGCTGTTTTGAAAAATAAACTTTGTGTTAAAAAATATAACATTATGCAAAATGTTAAGACTATGATTTTTTATTTTGCTTATTTAGTAATATTATAAAATTTCCAACTTAACACGACACTCAATAAGTCCGTAGGATATATTGTAACTAATTATTAATTTAATGGTAGGATATATAATTATTAATTTAATAGTGATAGGATATATTGTGACTGGTCATTGCAAAATATTATAAAATATCAAGCAAATCAATTTTTAATTATTGATTAAATTTTATTAAATTAAGCAAACTCAATAAGCTCTTATGGACTTATTGAGTAATGTGTTTTGAATATATTTAGAATATATTCATGAACAGCTTAAATCATTAACTATCTATCGAGAAATCGATTTCTCATCAATAAATTGATTGAGCAAAATGTGTTAAAATTGAATTTGCGTATTTCGATCAAATCAATCATTCAATCATTCAAAGGCATATTTGCACAAAGATAAGAAATTTTATATAATTATTTTATTAATTTCTCTGGACTGCTAATCAAAAATATTTTTTTAGTATGTAAGATTTTCTAAGAAGTATTTAATTAATTCATGACGTCAATCATTATAATATAGCAAAAATATGCTGAAAAATAAAACAAATAAAATATTTTTGTCAATTGACTCATTTTTGTGTCTAGATATTATCATTTGCATAAATTCGTAAAAAGAACACAAATTGATTGACTCATTAATAAATATTTAATATAAAGCACTATAATATTGCATAAAGTATGGTGAAAAATAAAATAAATGAATATTTTTTTTTAACTAAGTCATTTTTATGTCTACCTATTATCACTTGCATATATTTATAAAATGAACGTAAACTGATTGACTGATTATTAAATTCTTGATTAAATCACTCTATTAAGTATAGTGAAAAATAAAACATATAAAGTATTTTTTTTTAAACTGAATCATTTTCATGTCTACCTATTATCATTTGCATATATTCATAAAATCAACATAAATATTCGAAAAATCTGATTTGCAGCATATTTATGATGTGATTAATAAGTGTGTTATATGGAAGAATATTATATAGTAAAAATTAACATAATTATTCATATTACAATCAAATTCGCGACACTTTTTCTGCACTATGCAAATTCATGGAAGATTATATTCTGCATCTGCATCGACCTAATTTCCATTTTACCGCCGTGATCGATCGATTATTATCCTTTTATTTTTTTAGTTTTTCTGAAACCTATAAATAACCAAATGAACTGAACAATATTAAAATTAACGCAAGAGACAGATGCCATAAAGGAAGTTTTATTTGACGAGATCAGGAATCGCGATTGATTTAATTATAATAATAAAATGATCATTGTCTGGCTGCAACGCTTCCGGTTGCCAAGGCAACCGTCTGCAAGCATTGTTCATCTGCAGCACGTGGCGTCTGATCATTCTTATTGCCGAATTCGGATGGACCACGACAATGGTTCTCAAACATTAAGGTGCGACATTTTATAGAAAAATCTATCTGAATTTATTCCCAATATTAACCTTATAAAACTAATTGTCGTACATTCAACCTATATTATAAGTATTTTTGCATACAATATTAACTGATTTAGTAATCAATTTAAAAAAAAAAAGTTTTTTATGAAAATATTAATTTGGATCAAATATTTTAATTAGAATTTTTTACCATATTCAGTATCATTACATTTTCTAATTTATTTAAAATAATTGATAATTAGATATTAATCATAAATACATGTTTTTAATTTAATTGAATCTTTGCCCTGGCAAATATGTAAGTCATAGAAAATAGTAAATATTAAAGTAAATTAAGACAAAAAAAACAATTCCATTGAATTAATAGTTATTCCAACTCTTGTAATTAAGATTTCTGACAAAATACCAGATAATGGATATATAAAGTGGTATCTCTGTAAAAAATGCACCCATAAAATTTATATTTTTCACATGTTGAGTAATGTAGCTCATATTGTATAAATGAAGTGCCATAATTAAAATGATTTAATTGGTATATTTATTTTTTGGGGAGTATTGAAATAATTGATTTTCAGCATGATTTGATTATTTATTTGTTCCCTCACATGTTGAGAACGCCTAAGTCTAATTAAGCGGCATTGTAGTATCGTAGGAAATGCTTGGGACGCATATATTCTCAGATTAACAGACGGCTAGACTATTATATGGAATGATATAATCATATAATAATAATAATCATATTGCTTTATTTGCTGGATCAGACACGATCATAATAATACTTTCTTTATGAGAAATGAAAATTAACTATTTATGAATTTATACGACAACAAATCATATCAATCAGCAATATGAGAAAATTATACTTTTCCATATTACCAAAACATATAATTGTTAAAAGAAAATTGCCAATAGGCATTTGAAACATCTTTATTTTGAAGATAACAAATATAGCTTTTAACGCTGATTATATCATTTAACCCTTTCCACTCGCAAATTGCAGTGTTAATACTTATTTTGCCGCCGGAGCCACGGCATCCGAGTGGAAAGGGTTAAAGGATAAAATTATATCATTCGTATCGTATCGTATCATTATTGCATTTTTGCAGTTAATGGTAACTTTTTATACTTCATATTATAATTTTATCCCAGATTAAAATGTAGAACTTTTGTGCTTTTTTGAATAATTGTATTGAATGATTTAATTAATATGAAATGAAAATCGAAATCATTTATTGTCATCATAACAAAAGTATCGAATAAATAGAGCTTAATTATTCTGTGTAAAAACAATTAAACATTCAAATTTCAATTCAATTCCTGAAAATAACAGTTTACTGAAATGTAGAAAGTTTCAATAGGTATACTCGTATAAAATTTGATATCCAATATGTGTATATATTACAAGCTCCAAATTTTGCAACAATTTATATATTAAAAGACGATAACTAATTGTTATTGAAACAATAGAAAATATTTGTTTTTGTTCGTATTTATTTATTTTTCATCAATTCAGTATGCAGACGCGTGATTTTAGATATTCATTTGGGATTGATAATATTCATGCTATTTGTGTAAATGATATATTTGAATATATAAAAA